TCCTTCTGTTCCATAGAAAAAACTTCCTCTAACAGCTCTGGCTCAAAATATGCAAGAAGGATCCATCCAGCTGAGTGATGAAACTCTGCTGGGGTAAGTGTTTGCCTTGCTTTGTGACTTGCAGTCTGACAGCTTATTGACTGCAGGGCTCTAATTAATGTCTCTGGGTACACAAAGGCTGGTTTCAGTCTAGTGAAACTCCACATTTCTATATTTCTGCTCTAATCCAAAGGGAGAAGCAGTGAGCAAGCATTTCTCCCGGAGTGATTTAGGGCAAGGTTTAGGCTGAATTGCATTCCAGAGGGTTTTGATTCTCTCCTGTCTTAAAAGCTTTTAAAAATGGCTTTTATCCATGTGGATTAGTAGAATTATTGTCTCCATTTGAGGTTTAAAACTTCATGTATTCTGCAATTAAACTGCATTTTACTATATCTATTGCATTCTGCAGGTTCCATTTAATGACTTCAAACCATGTCACTTTGCATTAATTTGTTCATGGTTTAAAATAATTCCAAATTCTTTAACCTGGCCAAGTGGTTATTTGCAACTTACAGCAAAGTGGCTGAAACAAATAAACATCCATGTGCTGAATTCCAGGAACAAGTGGGTTTCCTCATTGCTGATGGGAATTCTAGTGGAGACAGTGTGGGATGACCTTAAAAACCTTTGTGCACATTTTAGTGAGCCACTGCAGGAGATTTAAACACGGGTAAAATCTTAGACAATAGTGTTTCTTTAGAACAAGGTTAAAGTAAAGGTCAGATCCTGCATTTGGAGCCTGGGACTGCTGCACATGTGCTTGCTTGGCATTAGGGGTTTAAGGGTTTCATGTTAAAGGGGCTGCATTGAGCAATGTTCCTGCATCTGGGGAGATGGAAGGATGTGCTTGGAAATCAATCCTGACTTCTGTGCCTTGAGGGCTGCTGTAATCACCTGGGTGTCTTAAAGCCTCCAAAAAACATAGTCGTGGCTCAGGAATTTTTAGAACACAAAGGTTTACTAACACCCTTTGCCTATCCCAAATGTGTCCATGGCAGCATAGGGCACTTGGGTTAATGCTTTGCTTTATACAGCACCAAGCTGTGCAAAAGGGCCACCACTGTTTTGTTGGGAATCTTTCTTTGGTCAATAGTAACTCACCTGACAATGTCCTGTAATTCCTGAAGGAAAATGTTGGATACCTGTGGTGATGCAGAGAACAAACTGGCCATGGAGCTCTCCCAGCATGAAGTTCAGATTGAAAGAGAAGTCCTAGACCCGTTGTGCCTGCTGACAGAGGTGAGTCACTTCAGCCTGCCTGAGCAAATACATTTGGGTTTGTGTCTGAACAGGGCAAGAAGGGTTTATCCCTGTGCTAATTATAGAACTGATGTAAGGGAGTGGTGGAAAGTGGAGGTGAGAGCTACAACATGGAGTTTGTTACAGTGCACAGTTGAAAGATCAATGTAAACCTCAAATCCTCATTTCAGACAGAGATCCCCAACATTCAGAAGCAGAGGAAGCAGCTTGCAAAGCTGGTGCTGGACTGGGATTCTGCAAGGGGAAGGTAAGAGAGGATTTCAGTTACTTTCTAGTGCTTTGCTGGTCATGTGAACCTCTTGTTGGCATCTCAAGGCATCTGAATCTGTGGGTTTGTTTCCTGCCAAGAGAAGCCAATTTCAAGGAAGCCATAAATGCAGATTCTTTTCAAATACTGATTTTTACCAATGAAACTTTTCTTCCCCAGATACAACCAAGCCCACAAGACTTCAGGAACAAATTTCCAAGTGCATCCTTCCAAAATAGAATCTCTTAAGGAAGAGATGGATGAAGCTGGAAATAAAGTCGAGCAATGCAAGGTGAGAACAGGCTGAGTCTGTCCCTTCCACACCTCTCCTCAGCAGCAGTAACCAGGTGCTGCTGCAGTCAGCCTGGCACATGGAACTGCCTCATTGCTGCAGCTGCCAGGCCTGTGCTTGTTAAACTGTGTGTCTTAAAGGTACTTTAACACCAGCTGATCTCTGAACTGCTTTAATTTAATGAGGAACTCCAGGGGATTTTCAGTTGGGTATTTTACACTATTTTGTGTTTCAGTCTGAGGCAGTTGTGAGAAGGAGCTGTGTCCTGGCCCTCCCTGACTGCCCACGTGTCTGGGTGCTCCGAGCCACAGAGGAGCTTCATGCACTGGGAGCTCCCTGGCTGAAATTCAAGCTGTGCCATCCCAGGACATGCTGATTGTCACAGTTCTGAGCAGTTCACATTCAGTTTCACTTCTCAATTGGCAAATACTCCTTTATGCCACAGCTGAGCTGAGAACCAAACCCACTTTTATTAGTAGTTTTCTTTCAGTGCTATAAATAGCATATTGCCATTCAGTGCAGTTACTGACTGAAGCTGGAAAGTGCTTTGCTGTGTAAAGCAGAGTTATGCATTTTGAACTCATTTTGCTTGAAGAGCACAAGAAGCAGAGCAGGTGCATCTCTGTAGTGCCTGAATCCATAGTTCAGGCTCACTGCAGGCAAAGCAATCACAGCTAACCCTGTCTGCTTGTGTAATTTGAAATGCTCCTGTAAATCTGATGTACCATTTTGCTTTCTTTTCTTTCCCAAAGGACCAGCTAGCAGCAGACATGTACAGCTTTGTGTCCAAGGAAGGGGAATACGCTCGCTGCTTCGTCATGGTGAGTGTCTCCGTGTGACTCTGACTGCGGCACATCTGTGCACAGGCACTCAGACCTCAGAGATGACATGTTGTGTGCTAAACCTTCTAGTCTTGTCTTATGTGCTCATCAGAAGCTAATCCTCTTTTTGTTTTTAAAATGTGGCTTCTGTTCTCAGTTATTAGAAGCACAAGCAGATTACCATAGAAAAGCATTAGCAGTCATAGAAAAGGTCCTACCTGAAATCCAAGTCCATCAAGGTAAAGTAACCTGTGCTCTGGCTGATGCTTCTCCTTGCCTGTGCCACCTCTGCACAATATTCTCCTCCTTTATCTTGACTCTCTTGCATGCAGACTGATTTAATAAGGCCATTTTGATCTACTTAACAATTTTACATTCCCAAGCATAATTCCATCTCTGTTCTCTGGACTTCTCCAGCCATATTTAACACACTAATCAAATATTAAGGATCTGTCTGATCCCCAGGAGGGTAAAGGAAGGATTTTTCTATTTGCTGACACTTCTTCCTTGGTAATATGTGCCCTTTTGCTGAGTCACACAGGGCTTTTCAGGCCAGTGGAGCTATCACTGTGATTTAGGAGCAACTTAGAGTCCTCGATCTTGAGTGATTCCCAGGTGATTATCAAGAAAACTCCATGTGTTTTAAGGAGATTGATGGGGGTTCCCTTCTTTTGTGCAATCCTCTTTACCAGCCCTGAAAAACGGAGAGTTCAGATTCCTGTGCTGATTATCAGCAGTTAGGGAAAGTGAATTAAGTAAACAGCTGAATTTCTTCCCTAAGAAGAAATGGAAATGCTGTGAAGCTTCCAAATGCCAGTGAAGTTAAGGTGTGTCATTAATGGTTTGGGATGAAGATGTGCCATGTGTTTTGGGAGCTGCAATCCTAAATGCTGACTGTGCTGTCCCTGAATCCCCTGATTGCTTTGGAGAAGGAGTTAACTGAACAAAGTCTGAGGAAAATACAATCTAAGCTGAGCAAGGCTCAAGTGCCTTCAGTTTTTGAGCACATGCAGGTTGTAAAGGGTGAACCATTGAAGTACATAAATCGGAGGATCTGGCTGGAAGGTGATAGAGAATATCTGTGCTCTGTCAGCTGGGGAGACGAGAGAATGCAACCAGGTGATGCTTGTCCAGCAGCAGGGCTGCAGTAGGGGTACACAGAAGGTTCTTTAGGAATACAACTGCTTTAAACTTTTAGTTGCTTTGTGCAAGCTTTTCATATCGCAGGTGCTTCAGAAGCATTCAGAAATGCTGTCCTAGAAGGGGGGCCAGGAGCCGTGGTGGCTAAGAGTAAGACATTACCTCAGTTGTGTTTGTAGCTGCAGTGTAAACTGGAGCCACAGAATCCTGGAGTGGTTTGGGTTGGAAAGACCTTTAAGCTTTAAGCTTATCCAGTCCCACCCTTGCCATGGGCAGAGACACCTTCCCCCTAGCTCAGGTTGCTCCAAACCCCATCCAACCTGGCCTGGAACACTTCTGGGGATGAGAGCTGTGACTTACTGTGACTTTGAACAAGTACTAATATTTCTTTTCCTGATGTTTGCTTGCAAACCTTGGGAAAATGCCAAGTGCATCTCATGGTGTGTTAACGAATGAGAGGAACTAAAACCTTATGAGGGATGTGGTTGATGTGGTTTTGTAAAGAAAAAGGGTGAATTAAATCCTTTGCAGAAACACTTTGTGTCTTCAGAGCACTCTTTCAAGTCCTCTGAAGTTTTGTCTTTCTTGCCCTTTTTTCCACATAAAAGAAATAACACGTCTGTACTAACAATGACTTCTACATCTGCATTTTTTCACTTAAAGCAGGAGAAATGGGGGAAAAGTAAATTGTAGGAAAGAACAAATTCACATTCAGTTTGGAGGTACTTGTGCCAATTTGAGTTGAACAACAACTGAGGAATTGAATTGAAAATTTATGTGTGTCAAGAAATCAAATTTAAGGAATGAACTTTGTGTTAACAGCTCAGTTTTTATGCACCTTAAACACAGCTAAAGCTAAGCTAAGATCAGCCCAATCTGGACAAAACTTTTCTCACAGATTCTTGCAGGCTGAAGCCAAATCAGCACTGCTGGAAGGTGCAGCCCTGTGCTCACTTGTGGTGAGGTTTATTATTTATAACACCAGTTAACACACAGGATTTGTATGTGATATTCCACCCAGAAAGATGCAGAAGTATCTTTTTCTTGATCCCCAGCAGCTTCATTTTCTCTTTCCTCATGATCCAAGGGACTTTACCAGTCCAGGGTTGTAAAACTCCTGCTGTAGTCTGACTTTTCCTGTGCTGTACTAGAGGCTTTTCTTCTCTTCTTGTCTGGGCTGTGTCTGGGTTTGGGAGATATTCTGCTCAGTGTTTTGATGCTCTCCAACCAGACAAATGGACTGAAAAACCAGCGTTTGGGACTCCCCTGGAAGAGCATCTCAAGCGCAGTGGGAGAGAAATCGCAGTCCCCATCGAGGCCTGTGTCATGATGCTGCTGGAAACAGGGATGAGAGAGGAGGTGGGTAATTCCAGCCCGCAGGCCACGAAGGATGGGGAAAAGAGCCCAGCTGAGCACAGGACTGATGTTGTTGCTTGTTAGGAAGTTGCTTAAGTAATTAGTTTGCTAGTGTAGATCAGAAATGTTTTGCAACACAATAACCTTGAGCGGTGTTGGAAGTACCTTTGAGATGAATGCACATACAGAAAAAATCTGGGATGGGCCAAGGGAGAGGAGCTCAGACACAGCCACATGACAGCGACAGAAACACTAAGGGCCAGCGGAGTTCTAACAGTCAGGTGAAGGCCCCAGACCTGCAGTGTCCCAGCAGAGGCTGTTGTAAAACTTGTGCTGTCCCGTGCGTGTGCCTGTGTGCTGTTACCAGTCAGTACACTGTATTTCTGTGATCAGGGCCTGTTCCGAATCGCTGCTGGAGCCTCCAAGTTGAAAAAGCTGAAGGCTGCCCTGGACTGTTCGACTTCACAGCTGGACGAGTTCTACTCCGACCCCCATGCTGTGGCAGGTACTGTGCCTGTGCCCAGGCAGACCAGGGGGAGTGGGCACAACACAGCTTTATGCTGTTCATTGAACTGTTCACCTGCTGCAGGGTGAGGTGTGAACCTCTGCAGGTAATCTCTGTGTGAAAATAAAGTGAATGTCACTTCACTGCACAGTTTGACACACAGAAGTGTAGGGAGCTCCTGCTCACCACACCCGGTGGATTCCTGTGTGTGTGACAGTGTGTGTGAATTCAGGGGATCACCACAATCCAAATGTCACGTTTCCTCTCGTGATGAGAACGTTAACATGGTCAGGGCAGATCAGAGCCGTGTGTTGACCTTTCATATGGTCTTTGTTCTGAAGAGATGATTCACAGCTTTTTAGCACATTTCTGTCAAATGACAGTAACTCCTGGCAGACCTTTCGAGAAGGTTTGAGCAAGTCTTTCCCTGGAATCTGAGGCCTATTGCATAGATAAAACTGCAAATCTGAGGACAGAGTTTTAGCTGAAGGCTGAGAGCAGTGGCTGAGGAGCCAGAGCTGACCCTGTGTGCATTGCAGGGGCCCTGAAATCCTACTTGCGGGAGCTGCCGGAGCCTCTGATGACCTACGGCTTGTACGAGGAATGGACACAGGCTGCAAAGTGAGTGCCCTAAGAGCAGTTATGTGGGGGAACGTCCTGCTTGTTTCTGTCCAGTTTGGTTCTTCATAGATGAATTCAGAGAAACAACCAAGCTCAAACAGTTAATTTTCTGATTTCTGCTCTAAGATGTTTTGTGCAATAAATTGTTTTAAATTTTGTGGTTTGGCTCAATCCTAATTGCACAAAATGTGGTGAAATCTCTTTTATGTTTAACCACAAGGGCTGCTTCACAGTGCTGGCTGCATAGTATTGGTGCTCAAGCAGTTTCCTTCTGTTGCAGGTAGAGATAATTCAGGGATTTGTCTCAAAGGTTACCGAGTCTGATCATGAAACTGCATTTAAGTGACGTAAATGAAAGGTTATTTAATAATCTCTTTGTTCACTGCTGAAACAACTAATTTCTGATCTGAAAGTAAGATGTAATGGGATTTTTTTTCCCTTTCAGTATTCAGGACCAGGATAAGAAGCTACAAGAGTTGTGGAGGATTTGTAACAGATTACCTAAGCATTATTATGCTAACTTCAGGTGTGTGTGAACATGTTAACTTAGCTGCTTTAGTGGTAGAGTACTGATCTCAAAGCTGTTTAGCCAAAACTCTAATCCAGGTGTGTTTTTCTTGGCCAAATTCAGAGAGATGTATAAAAATACATCTTATTTTGTCAAGCAGTGCATTAATTGTGGTAAATTATTCAGTCAGGTTCACTCACTGTTGACTGTCATGAAACAGTAATGCACAGCATCCTTCTCTTAACAGCTATTCTGTGCTCTTTGTTGTATTTTCCAGTCTTAGAGGTCACCTGGATCTATCTTAAACCTGTCATTTTTCCTTTTGCTTTTGCCTTTTGGGAATGAATGGGAACAAAACCATCTCTGGTAACTCATGCAAGTTCCATTGGAGGACATGAAAATACCTGTTGACTTGGCATTCACAATCTAAATGTTGTTTTCTGAAAGCACAGCAGTTCTGTAGTTCATTTGGCTAAGGTGGGAGCTGCTTCCCTTGCTGCCCAGATCAGCTTTGATCATCCATGAGTGAAACTTAGGGCCAGCTGCCAAGCAAGGAGGCTGCTCATCTCATCCCTGTGCTGTTGGGAGCTGTCTTTGCAAGTTCTTGCCTTTTCCTTCACTTACTTTCAACAAGAGATGCTCTTAAATCTTGCTGTTTAATGATTTCTTTCCTTTCCATAGGTATTTAATCAAATTTCTAGCAAAGCTTGCGCAGAACAGTGATGTTAACAAAATGACCCCCAGCAACGTCGCCATAGTCCTGGGCCCCAACTTGCTATGGGCAAAGAACGAAGGGTGAGTTCTGTTAGGAAAGCTGCAAGACAACTGCAGGAGAATTGATTATTTTAAATCCTGTAGGCTATTCACAGCAGCAGACTGTTTACCTGACAGATATTTCACATGTTCTTTCAACCTGTGCCTTCAGGTCCCTTTAAGCGTGAAGGACTTCCAGAGCTGTGAATATTACTGTCTAGATCTCATCAACACATGAAGTTGCTCTTTATGAGGCACTGAGGAGTCAGATTACCTAAATGACAATTTATGCTAAACATGGTGGATTGAATTATTTTTGATTTCTTCCTTTGATAGAACTCTGTATAAAGTGTTCACAAATCTCTTCTGCAGATCCCTTGCTGAAATGGCTGCAGCAACTTCAGTCCATGTGGTAGCAGTTATTGAGCCAATTATTCAGCATGCAGACTGGTTTTTCCCTGGAGGTAAATTCCTGCCTCACTTAAAAGAATTTTATACTACCCTGCCCAGGTACACCTCCAGTGGCTTCTGCAGTGAGGCCCCAGCTGGGATATGTGTCTTAGGATGCAATCTGTCTGTCTCTCTTCCAGATCAAGATTTCAATGTGTCTGGGGCATTTGTTGCAGTTCCTGCTGTTAATTCCAACCACTTGTCACACTCTGGGAACGACTATGAATGTGGGACACTGGAGAGGAAGAGACCTGTCAGCATGACTGTGATGGAAGGGGATTTGTTGAAGAAGGAAAGGTAGGTGTGATTCTTGGGTTAGGTGGCAATTATTAGCCTCTCCTGAGGAGGCTTTGATCAGACAGGTCTCAGGAGAGGAATTGAATGGAAATACTGTAACAAAAGTGATTTATCTCCTGTTGTTGCAGCCTGAGGATGGCTCAGAGGTAATGTACTGTTATTTCCTTCCAGTTACACTCCATGCATGATCAACCCTAAGCAGATATTGCTGTTCTCAGTTACCATTTTCCTAGTACACATTTGGGGGGGTCTAAAACCCACTGAAACAGAAGTGTATGTCCTAGCATCTCTGAGTCTCTAACTTCTGATATCCCATGGCTTCTCTTTCAAAGCCCATAAGCTGAGGTGGTGTTACCTGGTGCCTCCATGATAAGACTCCTCAGTTGATGATGGTACAGTATGCCACAGCGAGCAGTAGAGCGCTAAAAATACCAATAAAACGTGCTGTTTCCCATATAACATGTAGTGTAATGTTCATTATTATCACTCTTCATGAATATTCAAGTGACGTGCTGTTTTGTTTTTAGCTGTTGATTCAAGTGTTGTTACCTGTTAGCCATGGGCAGCCACATGCAAATTTGCCAGCACTGACAGGAAGAAGGAAATCAATTTAAGATTTAAGTCTTTAACACAACAAGAGTAAAATTAAATGCTAGAGTGAATGTGCTGAATGCATTTTAAAACCTGTTGGAGCTGGGATCTGTTTATCCATAGTTCTCCTTGACACACAAATTAGGCTCACAGAATGGTTTGGGTTGGCAGGGAAAGTTTAAAGCTCATCTAGTTCTAGCCCCCAAATCACAGCCTATATCCGGTGTATTTTTTTGAACCTATACTGCAGCTTAGTGTGTAATAGAAACAAAATTCATGTGGCAAAATACACTCAGTGAGGAGTTACTCTGGTCTGTAAGGAAATGTCTGTATTTCCATGTAAACTCTGAGTGCTTTGACCTCATTGTCATCAATGTTTGTCTTGGATCCTACTCAAGTAGTTTGTTCACTTATGTTCAGCTTATCCCTCTGTGTGGATAAGCCAAATCCTGTTGCATGTCTTAACATTCCTGGTGTTGTGCAGCCAGTGGCAGCTTTAACATCGTGGTGTTGTGCAGCCAGTGGAAGCTTTAACATCATGGTGTTGTGCAGCCACTGGAAGCTTTCCTTGTTGCTGCTTTGCATGCTGACGTCGGGGGTCGCGTTTGTCTCGTGGTCGTAACATGCAGCTGTGCAGTTGGTGTTGGCTGCGTGGTGTTGTTCACTCTCTCTTCTCTCTGTAGCTTTGGTGTGAAGGTTCTGGACTTCCCAGCGAACCCTCGGAGATGTGGCACTGTAAACAGAAAGCACACATCCCCGGCCTTCCAGCC